AAAAAATTCACAGTGATATACAAAAATCACTGTTGCTTTTTCAAGTTTGTTTGGGAAAGACTTTGCTTTTCAGATCCAGTGTGGCTTCAGTTCAGCAGACAGAACAAGATGGTGTTGAATTTCACAAGTAGCACCTTCTATCCAGCCTTTTCCTTCATTCCTTCAATCGCCCTCCTCCGTTTGAAATTGGTGAAGAGCAATGCAAAATTTATAATGTATGTTGACACGCAGACCATGCAGAAATCCCCCAGAACAAAGGCAAGAATAGATGCAAGATAGAGTGAACCAGCAACAGACACCCAGGAGGAGAAGACCAAAAACAGTGCTGCTCTCCTGGACAATGACAGCCCTGCAACAGAGACAAAAACAGAGGAATTCAGTCCATCAATAAAAAACACTTCAGTCATGGATGAATGGATTACAGGACAGGCCTACCGGGCATAGGCCCAGGGGCCCCAAGAGGTCAGAGGGGCCTAGGCCATAGCTTTTGTGAAATGTTTGAAAATCATAGAACTTAAAAGACTACAAATACATGCAAAGCAGCCATAAACAGAATCAAAACAGGGATTACAAAGGGAAACAAAAATGATCAAAATGAAATGCAAACCTACCCAAATAAAACAAACAAGAGACTCAAAATAATCAAAGAGATGCCAGAGCAACTATAAACACACTAAATGACTGATGGTCCTATATACCTCTCTGTGCCCAGGGGTGCATTGTCTGATAATCTAACCATGACAGATTACTGGGAAAGCCTGTATAGACTATGACAAATATCCTTGACTTAATATATTGATATGCTCATATCTCACTATTTCGCCAACAAAACATAGGCTACGGTACTGAAATAACATGCCTAAAAGCCCTGAGCACTGCACTGCTATTTGCAGAAGACAATGACAGACTTACCAAGGCTCATCTGCAGAGTGTAAAATAAGATGCCAAGCACACTGTTGGGCTGGTTCAGAGGGTGCTCTTTGGCCACAAAGACCTGGACCAAACCAAAACCACGTCCCCATCTGCCAAAGAGAAAAGAGTTAGAGCTTTGCAGGCATGCAGAATGAGAATCAGTTTGAGCAAATATCAACTTGGTAATGTCATAATGTACAACGTGAAACACATCCAGTAGAAACTAACACGGGGCAATGAAATGGGCAGCAACTGAATTATTCATGTTTTACAAAAGCTAAGTATGTAATTCTATAACAGCTCGGATGTGGCCTACAAAAACTTAAACCATCAATGAAAACATACCTGGAGGTAAAAACCTTGGAGCAGCTCACCGACTCTGCCACGTCGCACATCGCTCTGTAATCTGGGTTTCTCTCTTTGGACACCTCGACATGAAGCGCATAAACAGACAAGACTAAACCAAAAACACATAAAACTATGCGCACTTTCCTCTCCCACTTTGGCATCCCGTGAATACCGGGCCCTTCCATATTATTCCAGATATTTTCAGATGAATTTCTGACAATAGTGCAGTAGTCTAAAATATGACTTAAATGTTTCAGGATCCTGTTTCACGCGTAACAAACCGTCTGGTCAAGGCTACGTGTTAAAAGACGCACTTTTGATTGGTCAACGTTGTCACTGCTTTTCATTGGACGGTTAAATCCAGGTGCTGGGCCAACCAGAGGGGTGTCACGCTGTGTATTTACTGTGGGCGTCAGTCTCTTTAGCCTTTTGGGAAAATGTTAAGAGCTTCCCTCACTGTTCATGCCATGTCACTGCAGCTTTTATTCTGCTTGGAGTATCTGCACAGTCTGCAGAGTCTGAACTCACTGTGCCTAATACAGTCATTCCATTATAATCTTGATATATGCTTAGTAGCCCTAAGCAGCACTAAAGCTGTCAAATACTGTAAATGTACAGTAGAAGGTATAAGGCTTCCATTTGAACTGTCGCTGACTAGAAGTAATAAAAAATAGCATCAAATGTAGATTCAAGTATCTCAACACTGCACATATGTGCAATACTTGAGAAAATGTAGGCTACTGTTACTTTAAGCCACCATGTATAAACCACAATCTAAGGTTTAAACAAAGTGGGGGGGGGGAGGATAAAGGAAGGTGACTAAGACTATCGTAACACTAATGTGACTAACGTTGTAAATGTGTGCCTATCCAGCAGCTGCCTAGCTCGGGAGATGCCTTGCATCAAACCAAGCTTTTCCTTGCTCACCCCCTTTTCTGTGTTAACCAATAGCAGACACCAGTAACAGTTCTAAATGTGTGCCTATTGAACTGGTGGCATAGCTTGGTGGTTAACACCACTGACTTTGGTACAGCAGGTCGGGGTTCAAGCTCTGCGTGCTTGTCTGTAGGACTGCAATAACACTTCAGTCTTTCCTAATGTAAACAGTTCTGTCTGTTTTATTTGTTGTTGCTGCACATCTCTAAAAGAT